TATCTACTTCAGAGGGACTGTAAACCCTAAACCCTGAACCCTACACCCCAAGGCCTAAACCCCAAACCCTAAACCCCAAACCCTGAACCCCAAACCCCAAACCCTGAACCCTAAACCCCGAACCTTAAACCTTAAACCGTAAACCCAGAAAGCCTGAAGGCCGCGGATGTTGGGGCGCACGTGGAAATTGACTCGGAATCTGTCGCTGTGGCACCAATCTTGGATTACCTGGACCCTAGGGGTTGATGGTTGTACTTTGGGTCCTGCCCCCACCGATTAACAGTCAATAACAGGGGTCATATTAAGGATTATATTTAAAAATATATATATAACTATACGATAAATATTATCCAACTATTAACGAGTGGGGCTTAAGGTTAAGGGATTAGGGTTTAAGGTTCAGGGATTAAGGTTTAGGGTTTGGGGATTAGGGTTCGGGGTCTAGGGTTTAGGGATTAGGGGTTAGGGTTTAAGGATTAGGGTTTAAGGTTTGGGGCTTAGGGTTTAGGGATTACCTGGACCCCAAAAGTAGGTCGAATAACAGCCCAGAACCCAACAATCTAGCCCAAATGGCCATTATTCTACATAGATTTGGGGTTCAGGTAGGGTTTAGGGTTTGGAGGGTTTAAGGTTCGAGGTTTAAGGGCTGGGCTCCACCAGGATTTGGGGTCTAGGTTTCCCTAAGCCCTAAACCCTAAACCCTAAATGAGAACTCATGGTTTAAGGCCCCCGCCTTGGCTCCAAAATGCTAAGCCGAAACCTCAAACCCTAAGTTTAGGGTTTGGGGTCTAGGGTTTAGGGTTTAGGTTTAGGATTTAGGTTTAGGTTTGGGGTTTAGGGTTTAGGGTAAGGTGTGTAGGGTTGGGGGTCTAAACTCCGTAAAGGGGGTTATATAATGGGGACTATTATATAGGGCTTATTAAGGTGAATCCTAGGAGCTAAACTCATGATGATTCGAGTTACTGTCAATATTAGGTTTAGTAAGGAAAAACCTAAGAGTGGATCTAGGGGTCTTTCTTCTAGGAGTCCCTGACTGCTTAACCCATCTCTGTCAATTATGTGGGAAATATACATCCCTCTAAGGGGGTTCAGGGATGTTAGTGTCCATGCACTTTACCATTTTATTTCCACGGATTATGTCGGAAAGATTGGCTGTAGCTCGATTTGCAGCAACCTAAACATTAAACCCCAAAACCCTAAACCCTAAACATTAAACCCCAAAAGCCCAAATCTATGATGGTTGGGGGTTTACGATTTAGGGCGTGGCCGGGGGTCTCGATGGTCCCCCAAGTGGCAGAGCCCTTACACTATCCCAAAGGGTCCATGTAGCTATATGGTAGGGTTTAGGGTTTAGAGTTTAGGGTTTAGGGCTTTAGGGTTTAGGGGTTTAGGGTTTAGGGAAACTACTATACCCAAAGGGTCCATGTAGCTGTATGGTATATACTTGGGCCTCAATGTAGGTATATGGGAACCCCTTTGGGCCCTAAGTATCTACCATATAGCTACATGGACCTTTTG